TTTTCTCCACGAAAGAAAGGACTAGAATCTTTTCAAAGGTGATATTTGGGATCACCTCTTCAAGGGCTATCGACTGATGTATGCTTCATACAGATATATCATCTGCTGAAACTTTGAATTACTGCGCCTTACAAAATATATCTTTTCTTATCCGTTTTATTCACTTTTGCCAACAGATTACTTTTTATTAACTCTTATATATAACACATCTAAGAACACATTAACTGTGCTAATTAATTATAGGTAATATATATATTTTCTTTGGCCTTATCACTAGCATTGATTAATCATGCCCGAATTAACTACATATCAACCGCAAATGCTGAACAATTTGATGGTTTATCTAGTTCTTTAGGAGACAATGATTTCGAGAAGGAATGTATCTGTAGATTAGTATAAGAAAATGGTTATGTACAAAATAAATGGGTAGCAGAAAAGATGTTAAAACAGAAACAATTTCGCTTACCGGTAACGATCTTCTGGCCATTTATTTTTAAATATTTTATACTTTTTGTTACCGTTCTAAATAGTTCTGGAGAGTAACTCTCCAAAAACCAATAATTTTAAGTAAGTGACGTAAACTCCGGAGAGCTGTAGATAACTAAGCTATTCCACATCAAAGCTAATTCCGTTTTGACAAGAGTGTTTCTATACTTTTAAATTCTATTCTCTAGGTCTCATATCATGAAATTCGTTAACTGGTGAGTACAATAGAAAAGATTGGGTTTCGGGTCTGTTTCTTAATTAATTGAACTTCCAGTAGCTCCAAGTGATATTAACATAACAATGAATTTCGGTCATTGAGTGAATGGATAAAATAAATAATCTATGCAGTTTTACCTATATTAGCTGCAGAACTCTCCTGCCAGTGCGTATTACCGGTGTTGAACGTACATGGAAATATTTGAAAGTTGAATTTGATCGTGAAAGTGATGGGTTACCGGATCATAAAGCTAGATACTATGAAGCATTAGGTGGACCGGGGCCAAAATTATTTGCTGTGTGTGATGGTGATGACGTTAATGATAAGAAAGATCCAGTAGTTTACTACCATGATGAAGAAATATGGAGTTCGTATGCAACTGGAAGTGATGTCGAATTTTCGTTTGATCCAGCCTTACCAACACTGACAGCTTCTGAATCTGATCAGGAAAGTGACACAGAAATTATTAAAAAAGAATATTCGGTGTCTCAGCCCGATGAAGTAAGTGTACTGCTTTCTAACCCAGAACGGGCAAAATCTGACAGTGTTAGGAACAAAAGACTGAGGATAGCGCTTTTCAGAAATTCTCCGACTAATTTTCAGATATCTATAACTTAGTTAAAATATGACCTGAAAACCTGAAAATGTTTGCACAAACCCAGTTTTGATTGTAGAATTCCAAAATACAGTAAAATGTATATGTCAAATTTTTGCTCGTGACTGGTCTAAGGTGATGCGAATCGTCTTTGAAGTGGATTTAGTCACTCTTAACTCTTGTTTCTTTGTTTTGTAGTTAGCATTATGGTATGTCAGAAGTGACGACATAACATATGATAGACGAAACGGCGTTGATGAAACATGTTGGCAACCTGTTTTAGATATTGAAAATGAAATTATTGAAGAAAGTTATCAAAATCGTATAAAGGGTAATGATCAATGTCACCTAGTCGAATTAGATGATTATCTGATTGATTTAGATAAATATATACAAATTGACAAAACTCAACAAGAACGTCAACGTGCAGTTGAACGTCGTATGTGTAATGTACACAGTCAACATCCGAGATCGGATAGATTCTTCTCTGATGTTGCACCACCAGAATTTAGGAAAAGTAATTCAAGGACCTATCGCGAATCTAATGAATGGTGTCCCTTCATTTCAGAATGGATGGTTACAGCAACCGGTAGACAATGTTTACTAAATCCCAAGCTGTGTGCAATGAAAGCATGTGAAGGAATATTAACTGAAGGACGTTTAAAGGGTAGAGGAAAGGAAGCGGAGTGCCTAGCAGAGAAATTAAGGGCATGTCAAAATCAATCATTTAAACAAATATCAAAATGCTGTGTACATTTGTATACAAGAGAAAGTTTTCTATTTAAAGAGGCAAATAGAGCCATGCGTGAAAATGATTTAACAAAAGTAGATGTATTGGGCCCATATTGTTATTTATTACGTGGTTATTATCGTACATGTGAACCGTGGTGCGGACGTTTATATCGTAGTTGCAATTGTACACTAGAAGTGATTGATGAATATAGGAATGCAATTACAAGTCAAGAATGGAAAACGTGGCCAAGTTTTAATTCGACAAGTAAAAATCGTGGAAAAGCAGAGTTTTTTGATGGCAATACATTGTTTATAATTGATATTAAAGTACTTCAACTGGCTCCGACACGTGCTTTTGATATACAACATCTATCGTACTTTCCAAATGAAGAAGAAGTTTTATTACCGCCAGGTGTTTCATTCCAAGTTTCAAGTGTTCAGCAAGATGAAACTTCAAAAAAGTACATTATATATATACAACTTTAGAAGTTAGATTACGTATGAGATACCCAACAGGAACTTTTTACATACGAATTATGACTTCTTGAAAAGTGATATACAGCCTACCAAAGCAAAAAAATGTCTTTGAGAATATCTAGCTATAAAAGTACGTTATCGGGCAATATTGATTGGTGGTAGCTGGCTATCCGTACCACTTTTGTTGAGTTAGTTAGCTATATCGGGTATGATAGATAGCGACTAGATATCGTACACGATATATCGAGCTGATGAAAAACACTGATCAGAGTGGCTGTTTAGTGGATATATTGACCAACTATCACCCACTATATTGTGAACAGTGTCTGACGCCGCTGCACTACTAGCTATGAAAGTCGACATGTTGACCAATTATTGCCAGGTAGTGCTGGATCCAATTGTGCACTAGATATTGAACTAGATATGTTGATCGATTATTGCCCGATATATTGGCTCATGTATTGACAGCATGAAAGATGCTGTCTACATTACATCCCAGGATGTCTGCATACATACATCCTGCTTTGGCAAGTAATATTCCCCAATATATTGGTCTATTATTGTTCAATATATCAACTTGATATGAATAAAAACTTTGTAAATTTGTGAAGTATATGTGTTACAGATATAGGCAAAGTGGCTGCAAAACAAAAAAGGTGAGTAATCCGACCGTAGATATATCGAGCATATGATTAATCATGGCTCCGCGACGATAAACTGATGCTAATTTTGAACCTAACTCATTCCATTCTTCATTATTTACACCTAACTGATCTTTTTCCAGCTCATCGTTTAACACTCTAATGCGATCGTGAAAGTCATTTCCGTCAATATCTGACAGCAGATCGTAGAACTCCAAGGTTTCTAAAAGTCTATCGTGTGAAACACAATTGCTAGAGTCTCGTATTAAACAGTATAGAAATGTTTCTTGTTCCCTTGTTTGAAACAGTAGTCGATGAAGCAAATGTATTCCTAAAAATCCGGTGAAACCAGTCAAGAATATGTGCCCTTGTAGTTGTGCTATTCCACAACCATACATTTCAAAGTAATCTGTCTGTCGTGATAACATATTCACGTCATTTATTAATGTCATGAAAAGCTTAGTCTTCTCATCATATATTCCTGAATATAACAGAAAAGAGTAGCTATAAGAAGAGCTAAGTGAGAGACGTTTATCACATGAAGTCTTACGTTCATTGTCTGCCACAACTGATGACAACATGGAACAGACTAGATCAGAATATTTACTAACTAATTCAATATGACTTCGCAAAGTTGCAATAGCAAATAGCTCAGCTATGCTCACTGACGCTGAGGAACACATATCTTGATATAGAGTATGCAATTTCATGAACAGTAGGCTATTACCGCCCAGATGAAAAAAAGTTGTCATCCATTGATATTTTTTCATTTCTTTTTTTCAATACTTGACACTATATATCGTGTACTTTTTGTTCTACTTCCGTCTTTGGCTCTTCATAGTCACCGACAGATCGGCATTCAAACTAAAATTTACTTTTGGTAATTGTTTTCGATCTATTTTACCATTTTGATTGAATGGAAATGTATTTAGAAGAATGAAATAGGATAAAAAAAATCATATACTGTGGTAGATGTTGTTCACAAAAATCTCTAATCTGTTTCTCCTGTCTTCTACGAGGCTCATTATTATTAACAGCATCTACGTAAGCAGCAAGATACTCCTGTTCTCTTTCTTCATCTCTTACTTTCAATGCTAGACAATTTTGGATGTTCGACGACTTCATAACCACACTCTCAATTTCACCTATGATATAAGAGAGAAACGGAAGTTCTAAGAACTTAGAAATATCTACTTCTAACTTACTAGCTTCAATTCGTTGCCCTCTCAGTTTTACCGGAAAATCTTTTCTGCCAAGCAATTTCACCATCACTATTCAGTCTGACTAGATCACCAGTCTTATAACATTTTCCTGTATCAGCAATTGAAACTACCTGCATTCCTAATTAAATAGTAGATAATATTATATATTTTCCCAGGAATAGTTATAAATGTTTCAGTGAGAATGGTAGGTGCACCTGTTGCATTTGTCCAATGATAGAAAGTGCCTGTATGAGAGCTGATTCCACTACCAATCGATCCTTCACTGGTACCATTGCTAGGATAGGAATAATTCCATGACTGAAGAGTACCAGTTTCGAACCCACCATCAAAGAGTTGTTCTTGGTTAGCGTACACAATTGAACCATCATCCAGACGCCATATAGCCGTCTCTATCTAATTGAAAAAGAGTTTTATGTCTAATAACTTACCAAGATTCTCCTACATTATGGTTTATTTCTCTGAACTACTTTGTTCGCCGAATATTTAAAACAGGTATCTTGTAAGCAAAGTACCGGCAAATCGGGCGCATTGAACCGCATATTCAGAAGAAGATTGTATCAATCGAAAAATAAAACTAGAAATTTAGCATTTGACTAAAGAATGTCACTAATGCAGCTGTAACTTGGAAAAAACATATGTAGCAGTGTTTCATGCAAAGGAAGGGTACTTCAACTCATCGGAACAGACGTAAAGTGTAAAGGAAGCAGGCGATTAGAATGACGCTCTTAGGGCAATTGGATAGAAGGAAAGAATTTGATTAATAAGAATTTTAAAATTCACTTTTCTAAAGGCAATACCTTTAGATAGCTAAAGGCTTTGCTCTTAGATAAGACAGAGTAAACGCACTTTTCTTTCTCTATTCGTTTGAAACGGCGTTTTTCGGCATTTCGCAACGCGTTACCTTTGCGTTAAAAACGTACAAAAACGCATTTTCAAACCTTCTACAACGCTCTTCAGATGAAACATTTAACGCCTTTTCTGATCGTTAAAAACGGAATAAAAACGCGTGCGAACAGAAAATTGGTAAAGCCAAAGGTGAGACTTGGCTATCCAGTGGGACTTGATCTAAAAATAGTTGAAAGTCTATAATAAAGGAAGCACAAAACGGATGATCTAAAAAAAAGAACGAAAAGAAGATGATATTTCTGCGATATTTCGATTGTGCTTATATACTTGGCTGACCGCAAAACAAGGCGGTGAATCCCAGAGGTTAAAAAGTTACAAAAACATGCGCTTTTTTCCGTTTTTAACGATCATAAAACGCGTGAAATGTTCCAAAATCAACGCTAATAAAAGCGCGCTTCATAACGAACGAAAACGCGTTTTTCGGAATTAGCAAACGACCGTTAAAAGAGCCGTTTAAACGCGTTTTTGTCGTTCAGAAGTTTAGAATAACGCGGTTTTTGAATTTTTTTCTGTTTGTGAATGCGCTTAGAAACGACACGTTAAAACGCGTTTTTATATAAAATAAATGCGTTTCAACGGTCATTTTAACGTCTTTAGAAAACGTGTTCAACAAAAACGCCAGAAAGCGGTTAATTTAACGATCGTTAGCAAACGCGGTATCGAAAAACGCGTTATTCTAAACTGCTGAACGACGAAAAACGCGTTTTTCGTGGTGTTTCTAACGATTTTTTTCCGCCTGGGACAATATTGGATATAGCAGTCATAGTTAAATGAGACACACAGTGGGCACTTTTCACTAGGCACCTGGACGTTTAGCCTGCAAGCTAGAGGAAAACTTAAAACCGCGTTTTCTATAGGTTATTTTGTGTGCTCTATCTAATCGCATACTTTTCGAATTCTAAAAGCGTTTTCTAAGTGGTTTTCCAGAGATCCAGTCTCTAGAAAACTACTTAGAAAATCTTTAGAAAGCTCGAAAACAATTGCATTAGATAGAGAACCATCGATAACCTATTTCAATAAAGCTCATTCGCCCAAATTCTGAAAGTACTTTTCGAGGCCTATCCAGTTCCGCCAAAATCATTCGAATTGCTTTCATTTTGACGGAGAAATTCAAAAAACAAGCACTGTAGCTGCTAAGGATGATGTGAATGTTGATCGATATTGGGATACTTCACGGAAACTCCGAGATATATACGACAGGGAGCCAACCTGCCGTATATATCTCGAAGCCTACAATTTGGACCATATTTAAAGAAAATGATACTAATTGTTCAACATATAATTAGAATTGGTTCTGTGTTTGTGCCTCAGCTCAGCATTGCTTCGATGTATGGAACAAATATCAGATGTATTTAGGTATGATTTGGTATTAGATTATATTAGACTAGTGTTAGTAACACGAAATCAATTAAATGATAGCAAAAGATAGTACGGATCGCACATTGATGACAAATGAGGATCGTTATCTACAATGTGTACTAGGCGCTGGTCTTAGACAAGGCATTACTAAAAAAGTCTGATGAAGATAGATAGGAAATTTATACTGACAAATTGATGAAACGGATCACGTTAGATGGACGTGTGTTAATTAACTCTCCGTGTGATAATTTCCGAAAGGAAATTCTTTCGTTTTAATAATCTGCTGAATTGATCCATTTCCGCTTATTATCCTAACTTATAAGTTTTTATATAACAACTTAACAAAATACAATGATAACTTTCTTCTTTTATATATCAAAACGAAAAACACACACAGCAATTTTATCAAAAACGTGTACTACTAACAAGATAAAACTTTTTGTCTCTTTTTATTTTATTTTCCATTCCTCGATCTCAACAATTTTTTTCTTTTAACTTTAATTCTCATCTGTCCTGTCCAATGGCCACTGAAATCGGGTTACATCTGCATCCCATTGCATTTGTGCCCGGAGGTACCGAGACAACGAGCATGAGATAGCTTGTCCAAGACTATCACGCGACCGCCGTTGCCGGGATTCGAACTTCGTATCTTTGAAGTACTTTATCCGCCACTAGCCGACTGAGCCACGCTGCCCCAACAATGATCTTCGTCTCGTCTCCTTTTCTTCTTTACGTTAAAGATGGACAAAAGAACACTAAGAGCAAATAACATGTCGACATGCAATAGGCAGTTAAAAATACTAACGAAAAAATAAAAACTGCCTATGATAAAATGCGAAAAAGTAAACTCGCGACTTTTCGCGATACTACTTGTCTTGTT